TCAAACGATTAGTTAGACTAAGTTTTTCATTTTCTGATTACTTAATTTGAGTTTAACTTCACTTAACCTGATGATGATATAAAAATTGTATTTTCCTAGTTACGATTAGTCACTAAATTGATAGTTTCGTGGCGATAACTTTAAAAACTATAAAATCATCAGCTTAGTTGATGAACCTTAGCTAGAAAATACCATTTTTGCATTATCATTAGGTTAAATCTAACCATCTGGTTAAAGTTAATCAGAAAATAAAAAACCGGGCTTTAGAAGGATTGCTTAAGCTTAGGTTTGATTTTTTGCTTATCTAAATTTACTTTTTGCAATGAGATCATAATGTTCCTCGTAACCTGCAAATCTCAATCTCGACTAGAGAATACACAGTAAAAATTAAAATGTTAATTTTAACTTAAAGACATGTAAAACTGTTAAAATTAACACAAAAATGTTAATTTTAACATTTTCGCATGTCTCAGAAAGTCCTAAACGTTTTTAAGTTAAAATTAACATTTAATTTTTTACAGTATATTTTTTTCCTTTTACTAAAACTATATTTATGAATAGTATTTCATTTAGGATATCCAATTACATTCTAAAATTAAACTTCAACGAATTAGCAGGTTCCATTTCACTTCCCCCTTCACACACTCGGTTGTTTCGCGACGGTGCGGATTCCGGCGGGCCCCGAATTAACGTCGTTAAATTTTACGGTCGCCTCGTCGGCGAAACCGATTCCGTTGTAAGAAGAAAAACGACCGAAGCCAGCACGTAACACGATGAAACACCGTCGTAGAGTTTCACGATTGGGAGAGACGTTTGTGTCGGGATGTATGTGCGTATACATATACGAGGGCTGGTCTTTTCTACAGGAAAATCGGAAAGAAACGCGCAAAGACTAGAAAGGACGCACGCGGAGTTTTCTAAAGACCTTTGTCAGCATTTTCCATACGAGGAATTGTAAGAATCTTTGGCTCACGTATCGTATTTACAATACTATCGGTATCGATCGATTTTAATGGGATACGCCCGAGTGCATCGATAACCGCGCTACTACCACATTACGAGCGACTCTGATGTGCTCGACGAGCAGGGGATTTCTGGTTTAAGCACGTTGAAAAATTCATCGGTGATCCACCGCCACTCCGACAACGTTTGATTCCCGCAAAAGGATACGTCTATCTCTAGTTGAAAGGTAACGTGCAACGCAGCGGGATTCAAAGAGATTTTGCTATTCGCATTAACCCATATTACAGGATTTTAAATCGTTAAGTGACACCTAAATCCTACATCTCGAAGACTCAAGGACGCGTCGAATGATCCGCTAATCTACTGTTTGCGTAATCTCCCGTCTAGACTTCCGCATAAATATTTCAGCTCCTTGATTTTCATCCATTTGCGAATTTATATCTACGACTTTGGCGAGGTTCCAAAATTAACTGTCAGAGTTAACGGCTTCGTACCTCCTTCACTTAATTTGTAGTTATTTCAAGATACATTCGTACATTCGGAAAGAACAATTTTGCTGAAGCGTCTATAAATTTAACTAGATGTAGATTCGGAAATAATTTTATTGAATTATCAAAATAATTACGTAAGAATCTTAAACATAACGATGCTGCAAAAATTGTTGACATTTTAACAGCCAATTTGAATGTCTTTTACATAAGTATTTTAATATCATAACAAAATTATTTTTAGATCTGTGTTTAGCTAAAAGACACATTTCTTATGAAGAAATCGAATTCTGTCAAACCAACTAAATTTTTAATATGTGATTGCTTTTATGACGCTGATTAAAAGTCTAAATGAACATGAAAAGGAAAGCCTTCATTTTTACAGTTTTTAATTAATAACCTGGATATTAATAGTAGAAACCATAAAAGCTATTAATTTTAAACTAGGCTCTTTTAAGTTTTGCATTGTTAAGAAAGTTGCAAGGTTGCAGGAAGAATCTAAAAAGGTACGAAAGAAAATTAATGATCTTGTATAAGAAAAACACGATTTCTGTAAAATATACAATTTTGAGCAATTTACGGTTCCGCAACCGTAAAAGTTGACCTTTTTTGAAGTCAGACTTTTGATCAGCATCATAAAAACAACCATATATCAAAAATTTAGCCAATTTAACAGAAACCGGTTTCTTTTATAAGAAATATGCGAGGTCCTTTTTAAATACTTCAGCAAAACTGCTTTCCCGCACGTTTATTTTTCGCATGCGTTTATTCGTATCGCTTTTTCAAACGAGCTAATTTTGACTGATCTTATTATAGGCACAAATTTAAGCACAATGATTGCAATATAAATTTTATGTTAATTAAGCTTTAAATTTATCCATTATATAAGATCCAACTTCCACTCTTCGACGTTTGCGTAGCGTTAATGCTTCGTGGGATTTGCACGCGATGATCCGATCATCAAACGGGAATACGACGCAGTGACGATCATCGGATAACGCTTTTAGGATTTGGATTCGACGAAAATTGATTTCGTCCCAAGTTTCACTCACGCGCGAGCTGGATTACGCGCTCAGCCGATAATTAATCGCAGTATAGCCAAACGACAGAGAGCGATTAGCGTGATGCGTGCGCAACGGTAATATTCAAATCTGCTCGTCGTATGCGCAACAATGCTGCGGAATTCCGTCTATATTTGTTGGGATTAAGTGCCACTGGGTTGGGATAGCAGCCGGATGATAGCTGGCAGTCGGGATTCCGAGCCATCGGTCCGATGATATTTGTACAGGCGCACGTACGGTTACACTCGCTGGTTACAATCGCTGGCAAAAATGATTTTTTTTTCCACGCGTACTCCCGCCCGCGAATTAAAAATATCCAGCCGACGAATTAGTTTGCACTGTCGAGCTTTACCACGAATTCGATATAATCCCATTTCGCGGCGCGGTGCGGCCGTTATCCAACCATCATGGATTTCGCGAGACGTTGCGTTCGGTGTGAAAAAAAAAAAAATAGAAAGGGAACGGGCGGGGTTCACGTGAAATTAGCGCAATTGCGTAAACGGTGAGCGAAAAGCGCGGCCGTGAGCCACCTGCCTTGACATAGAAACGTACCTTCGTGTGTACAGAATACGAGAAGTTATTCGCAAAAGTCTTTGAAAGTAATTGAGTTTTTGAAACTCTCGAGTTCTTTGTCCTTTTCTTTCCGCGAATTTACTTTATATTTCACGCGACTTTTAGATTTACGTGCACGGGAACAAAGACAAATATATTTGTCTTCGCTAGACAACTAGACTTTGCCATCCTAGATTACAATCCTTTTCGTTCACTCGCGATTGCATTCTCTTTCCTATTCTAAGCATTCAGCTTCTCGCGCGCTTCGACTCAATCTCGCGAACATGCGACAAGAGGAAAGATTTGCCTCGGGAATTTCTTGGCGCGTGCTCCATCACATTTGCATATCCAGCTTAATGACTGTCGGCTGTTGTTTCCGAATGCGGAATCGAAGTACCGCCATACGGTCTCCGGGCGGGAGGAGCGACGGATGTGCCAGGGAATAATGAAATTCGCAGGGAAAATCAGCGAAGCCGACGTTTCGAACGTGACGTGGTCAGTCCTATCATTTTATGCAAATAAAAGTGGAGGACGCTTGATTTCCCCGTGGTGTTCCGACACTGCCGTCGCCATCGTCAACGTCGGCGTCGGCGTCGGCGTCGCCGACGGCCGGGACGACGCCTGACGTCAGCCGGAGATACGATTCCAGCCGGGTTTACGGCACTCCGAGCTCTGTAGAAACGGCTGTATAGACGGTGGTTGGTGCTAACCAGTTGCCCTCGATTCTCGACAGATTCCCTGAGGACCTCGGCACGTGTCAGGGAGCGCGTGTTTACGTTGAATATGCACTTTACACCGAGCGATCATGCATTTCGCATTGAGGATACATCTCGACGATCTTCCCGAACATGTCAGTTGCAACATTGAAAGATGAAATTTGACTAATTGTAAGATCCTTCAATTTCGACATTCAAAATAATTTTTCTACGCGACGGAAATATTTATAAAATATTATAAAAGTATAACTCATAAATAGTAATTATTATTATCGATTTTATTATTTATCAATTATATTTTTAATCACACATGCTCGTTTTTAGTAATATAGATTTATTTTAATCTCTCGGTTCAACTCTAATCTCGGTTCAATTTTAATCTCGGTTAAATTTTATTTCAATAAAAATATAACATCGTTGGTTTTCTATCAATGTAGATTAAAATTAATCCGCATATAATCTGATAGAAAACCAACGATGTTATATTTTTATTGAAATAAAATAAAATAGTAATATTTAGTGGCTCCAAGAATAAATCTAATACAAGTAAAATGCCTGTACGACTGTGGATATTAGTGCGTAAATAATGAATTCATATTGCGATAGATACAATTCGCAATCAGTTGAGATATATTTACGATGTTAAAATGAACGCAGACGTTTCAATCACGGATTTGAGTCTTTTCAGTGCGAAAAGTTTGCGTTTACTTTAAGTTCGTTTGGTAAGTATATTCTAATTGGTTACAAATTGTATCTGTCATGTTATGAATTTATAATTTACGAATCAAAATCCGCACCAGAGACTCACATAGGCATTTTACTTGTATTAATTATAATCTGACGATTTAAAATTTTTTACTTTATTCGATTAATATTTATATCGTGCTAATTACTCTTAGCATCGATTAATTATTTTTTAACATCCAAGCGTCACGCCGATGTTTCGAATAGCGTTGCTATATTTATAACATTTCCGCCTCGAGTATCAAATATTCTACTAATCACACCATTGTAGCTACATCATATCTTTTCTTCTCAAGACATCGACCAAGTTTGCGCGTCAATGACTAGATTTTCGCCTTGCGTCTTGCATCCTCGGCGTCTTCGGGAGTTTGGTGCGCCCACCGGGGCGTAAATTCAGCGATTGGCCCGTGCGTAAACTTCCTACAACTAATCCGTCGAGGATCGTACCGCGAGTTCGGCATCCATCTCGTACTCACCCAGTGAGAGTAGCGCGACTTGGGCGCGATGAATATTGCAGAGCGTCGAGCGCATCTCTCCGTGTTACGTGCCTGCTCGTCGTGAGTAGAGACACGTAGAACGGCCAGGTAGAGAAACGAACACCTGGCGTGACCGACGCGCCGGAGACCACGCGGAAACTGACTCCTTTCGATGGCACACTGTCGGTAGTATCCTCGCCACGGAGCGGAACCGAGTGTATACGTACGTTGACTTTTGCTTTTGCTTGCCGTTGCTGCGCTCGCCTTTCGCCGTGGTGGGAAGAAAGATAGCGGCCCTGCGTTACACGCTCACGGCCAACCGATCCTCAGATGAGCGAGAGTGTCGGGGACTGGCCGATACGCTTCGAAGTCTCGAAAATGATCGCGATTAATTGACGTCTTTTGGGGAAAGTGGTGTGTGAGATCAGAGACAAACACCGTTTTTTGCTTCCATATACAAGGTCAATCAGAAGTATGTTTTAAAATTTTAAAACGTATTTAAGCGTATTTCTGAATAAAAAGAAAGAACAAATATTCTTATCAACTTTAGGTCGCGAATGTTTTATTATTGAAATAATGTGCCACTTGTACATCTACTACATTGGCTTAAGGATGTGTGGAAAATGATGGAAGACAGTTTGAGCATCTCTTGTAAGCAAAAAATATCTGAAACTTCTAATAAAGTTATTATTTAATATTGTATTTAACAATAATAATATTATAATAATATCATTAATAAATACACTGAGAGAAAAATGTTTGGTATTTGTAACTATAATTACATATCACTATAATTATGATTAATACTGCTATAATAATAATAGTAACTATGTATATAGTTCTAGCAACAAATGTATACAGTTGGCAACCTAAAATGACTATATATAATTATAGTTGTTATAACCATAAAATAGTTGAAATTACCATAAAAATGATTCAAGTGACTATAATTTTATAGTTATTATTTTTTATGGTTGTCCCAAAATATAACTATAAAATTATAGTCACTTGAATCATTTTTATGATAATTTCAACTATATTTTATGGTTATAACAACTATAATTATAGTTATCTTAGGTTGCCAACTATATACATTTGTTGCTAGAACTATATACATAGTTACTGTTATTATTATACCAGTAATAATCATAATTATAGTGATATGTAATTATAGTTACAAATACCAAACATTTTTCTCTCAGTGTACTATATTTGTATTCATTATTTTGCAACGAAGCATTTGCGACTTAATTTTCATGACATTTGTTCTTCTTTTTTATTCAGGAACACATTTACGTTCAGGAATTTTAAAACATACTTATTAATTATTATCGATTTTGTATGTAAGAATTTAAATATACTATTGTGAAGATCAAATCAACTTCTGCGCTATTATTGCTCTCAATCGCCCGGAAATTTCTTATTGATGATTGTTTTATTATCTAGAGAGCTCATTTGGTTTATTAATTCATACTTATAATTCGCCCTGTATATTTTTCGCCATATATATTTATTTTAACAAAAAGAATTGATATTACAATTATTATAATAATACCTGAAAGTGTATTGTAGTTAATTTGGATTTCATCTGCATTGTAAAAAAGGAAATGAGTTTTAAACTCATCTTACACTGCAAATCCCAGTGTCTAAAAAGTGACTTTAATATGTATATGTGTGATTAGTTTTCCGTGTAAAAATAACACAATAATTATGAATTTACACATTTAAAAGTGTATAGCCTCATTTTTACACGAAAAATTAAATAACATGCACATATAATGAAGTTACTTTTTACATTCTTGAATTTGCGATGTAATTGCTTTAACTTACCACTATAAATTTTATTAGAAACTTATGTTCCTACATTTTAATCTCGTATTTGACCAAGATTAACATAAAATGGATCAATCAGCTGTCAACTGAGCAAAGTTTGAACTTGAGTAAATAGTAATTATGCGGAACTCGCAGAATTTAATGTCGTTCGCGTATATTTCATCGGGGAAAAGTAGCACGTATAAGTGGTGTGCTTATAAAGGAACGAAGTTCCCGTTGCTATCTCTCGTAAAGGACGCGTAACGCAGTCGAGTCTACGACCGTTTAAGTTTCATTGCCTTTCGCGCGAAATATTAAGATAACGTCCGACGCACAAGCGCCGCGAGGCAGTCTCTTATATTCTAGTCTGACAATGAGCCTCGTTCCTACGCCGTCAACTTGGGTTTTATCGCCCGCTTTAACTCTTGTGAGCATTAAGCGCGTTACCTCGTAAAAGAGCGTTGTGAGTAGATCGAAAGGAGAAATTGCATAGCGCCCGCTATAATTACGCGTAATTGTCTGTGTCTGATTAAGCTGATTACTTTCCGAGGGAACTTTTTAGGCGGTTCACAAGCCTTCCATTAGGCCGATTATAATTATTATTTACACGATTATCGAGAGAAGCGGAGCATCCCGCGAGGATTTTCCCAATTCACGATTCAGGTGCTAAGCGAACAGTAAATTCAACAATCCGATGATCTCCAGATCTTTAGGTTTAAAGATAGATGGCGAAGATTATTCTTACGCTTTCGAGTCTTCAAACGTTTAAATATTAGCAACACCGTATCAGAAAAACCACGAGAGTTGGGAACAAGCGTATAAAAAGCGATTTAAAAGTGAAAAAAAAAAGAAGCGAGAGAGTCTGTACTCTGAATGCAACAATTAAACTTTCTGCGTAGAAAAGAGCTCCATTCTTTCGCGCCAGATTATTAAAACTGATGCGGAAGATGTTGCATCGTAAATGGCCGTTCTGTGAATGCATCATAATACAGTGGCGCTCGGTGATGACTTCCTGCTGGCGCGGCGTGATGTAATCGGGAGGATGGCAGCGCAAAAATTAGTCGGAAAATGGGGAAAAGCGATGGCGAAAAGCGGGCAAAACGTTCCCATCGGAGGAATCGGACAACAATTCCGCGACCACAGTTCCGCGGTTGACAATTACTGCCGCGGCTGCTCTGATGTGGCTGTTATCGACCACTATTTTTTCAGGTGCGTCCATTCCTGGTAAAATTAAACAAAAATTTCCATTCGTAACGAAAGCACAAAAATCGCGATCGTTTGTCCGCGACCCACAGAGTTCGGTTCCCTTCCCAAGAGTCAGTTATGGTGCAGCCTACTGTAGGCATTTCCGTGCGCAGAAATCGTTTTGTTTGTGCGTAATGAGTACACGCTTCGGAACAATTAATCCTTCGTGGTTTGAATTGGATTTTGAAGACCCAAGCGAATTTTCAATTTTAATTTATATACTGCCTCAAAAATTCTTTGAAAAACAATCAAGCACCGGTAAACTTCAGCTCACTGTCTTATTCTCTTACTCTATTATGCCCTTACTCTTTTATTCTTTTGTTTGTCCAGTAGATAAATTACTACATAGTTTATTCGAAGATGGAACAACCTGCTTTAGAGTGAATTGTCACTCTAAAGAATAAAGTCTCACTCTTAAAGATTAAAACTTGAGTCACTCTTTTTCAAGACTGGCAGTTTCCACTCTTTACAGTGAGATTGCACTTGAAAGGATTTAGAAAGTAATTAGAATTTTGGTAGTTTTCGCCATGTTGTGAAAGTATTGTCGTCGTACATCTACGATGAAACGTAAGAAAATATACGAATCTAAAACAAGAAACATACAGAAACGGTCCACGGATCTGCATTGCGTCGTGTTTTTACGTCGCGTAGATAAACGCGAGATTCTATCCGTCACGGCATTATAAGAAAATACGCGAATTTACGCATAAACGTCCATCCTCATCTTCAGCGGCTAACGTGTCGAGGATTAATTACATCCCGGGCGGTCACGAGCGCTAAAACGTTGATTCCATAAACCCACGGAAAAAGGAGACCGTCTGGCAGGGTGAGTTTTTCAGTGACGATAATTGTACGCCATTAGGTAAGCCGTCCCGACGTGAGCACAATAACACGGGTGATGTCGACGTAGCGGGAGCATCGTTGTCGTCGTCAACGTTGTCGTCGTCAACGTTGTCGTCGTCAACGCGAAAATGTGAGGGAGAAGAGAGGTACGTAGTTGAACCGAGCGATATCAGGTCTCATTGTTCCTCGACTTCGAGCTCTTTGTCTCTTCCGTTTCGAAATGCCAGGCGTGGGCGGCTGGAGAAGGACGAAGAATGCAACGAGCCACGGTCTCCCGACGACACTTGGAACTTGCCAGTTTACCAGTTGTCGGGGGTGACCTGGTCGCCTTCGTAAAAGGACACGAACGCTGAATGCCACGATGCAACGCGCACAAGATCTTGCATTATGAAAGTCTCGGTTTACACGCTGCTACTTAACCCATTATCACGTACATTTCGCGCGATGAAATTTGAAGCTTACGTTGCGAAGAAAAAAACGAAGGAAAGCTCTTCATTACTCTTTTAGAGCAACACTTCTGGAAACGGGATATACGTATTTTTGTTTGAGAGAGCGCTCAGCTTCTTTATTTAAAACGTACGTGTTCTCGCTAATGTATTTTAGTACAGTATTATTATTGCATTGAAAAAAATATTAAGTTTTAATAAATATTTCTTTGAATAATTCAGAGTAAAACGAGGTAATTGTCCCAGTGATCGGACATACCTATGTCCGGACACTTACACAAGATTTATTATTAGTAATCTCAAATGCTTTTTTTATTGCAATATTCTAATTCAGTTGTATTTAAAGATTATTTTAAAAAGCATTTGAGATTAATAATAATATAAACAAATAAAGTTTTGTGTAAATGTCCGGTTATACTAGGAAATTTTTATCTTATTTATTAAATTCTATATAAACTTATATTTATTTGATACCATAATTTGATTTAACTGTAATTTTTTTTATTGAGTAAATATTTATTTGCTGTAAGTAAATGTTTATTTAGTACTATTCAAAAAATATGTATTAAGATTTAGTAAATTTTTTTCAGTGTAATTGCGTTTAACCCTTAATACACGCCTTTGGGTCATTCGTGTACTGCACATTTCTTTTCTTTGATTTGTATACAACAATTTATTACAAATATATAATAATTTTACAAATACTTTCTAAAGATGTCAAAATATACGCAAACATTGCTTAATAATTTTTATATTTCTGTAAAAGTGATGAAAATTAATCCAGGATACGAAAGATC